AGTGTTCCTTTCTCAGAGAGCTCCTCCATGACCCCCCTAAAAGGGCAACCCTTGTCATTCTTGATCACTTTGCTCTTTCTTTCACAGTATTAATACTTTCACAGTATTATCTATCTAATATTTATCCAATATCTATCTAATCAGTTTTATTAAAACTCATTATTAAAATTTAATTATATTTTAATTATATAATACTTATTATTAAAGTATAAGTCCCATGATGGCAGGAACTCCATCTGTCTTGATTACTATTTTATACTCAGTCCCTAGAACGGTGCCTGATGCAGTAAAGATGTTAGGTAAATATCTGTTAAATGTTGGTTTCTTTTCCTTCATTTTTTTTCAGAGCTCTTACATATGGGGGACTGTCTTTCTGATATCTTCCTATACAAAAGACCACCTGGCTAGACATACATCGTATTGTTTTATAGCATTTCCCTGCAAATTAATTCTATAGACATTTGTACCACAGTCTTTGGGCATTAGGGTTTGCCCTGAAGAACTTTAGCAGCTACTTGATTTTCATTTTATTTTAGATAATCTGATTTTTTTCTGTATGAATGTTCATAATTTTTTGAGATTAGGGTGTGGGCTAATTTCGGTCACTCTCTTCTATAGTTTTGCCTGAAATGTGCTGAGCTGTTCAGATCTACAAACTCAGATCTTTTTCAGCTCAGGAAATTTAACTCCAATTATTCTTTGCTTACTGCTTTGATTCCAGGTCTGCTTGTTTCTCCCTCAGAAACTTCTATACTCCTTAGGTTAGGCCTTCATTGATGTTTTCTGCAGTGCATGATTATTGTAATTTCTTGGTCCTGACAGAGCTACTCAAGTTTGTTCCTTGCCTTGTTCATTTATTTTCTTCTGTCAGTTTGGCCATAATTTGTCTCCAATGCAGATTTTAATTTTGTCTTTCATTTTCAATTTGCTTGTAATTCTTGGCGCTCTCTCACTGTATGAGATTCTGTTCCCAATTCATGTCTGCCGGTGGCTTCCAGCTCCTTCTTCAAGAAGAATATGCTGTCTTGGCATTCTATGGAGAGTGTTAATTTTCTGTTTCCTGCAGTAAATCGTTTTCGGAGGCCTACTCTTTCTCTGGGTCTTCAGAATGAATATTCTTTTGTGTTTTCTCCTGCGTGTTAAGTATTCCCTCTATTTACTCCTCCTTGAATAAGGAGAATGCTATTCATACCTAGTGTGTCCCAACAGATACACATGGCCTCAGAGAGCAGCCTTCGCGCCGGAAAGGAACAGCGGCTCTGGTTTCTGGAAGATACGGGGCTTAACTCTGGGAACAGAGGGGGGTTGGGAAGGGATGAATGATGTCCCTAACTACATTACATTTTTCTGGTGGCATAATACAGATGGCCCACTGATTACCTTTCTCAATCCAATTCCATCAGTTTTGTAACAAGTAGCCAATCCTCCTGGATTCCTAATCTTAGTTTACAAAGAGCCTAACTTTTATTTTCCATCACACCCTTCACCAAATATTTCTTCTGCAGTTTCTCATTACCCAAAATGCATTTCTTAGATGCATCTGGCCTTTATTTCTATGACTGATAGCTGGTATGTATTTACTTTCTATGGTACATGATGTACCTTACCAAAGATTCTAATTCTTGTTAATTACCAGGCTGTATACATTACTGTAAGCTAAAAGCCTTGTGAAAATGGCTATCTCTGCTGGCAGGATTCAGTTCCTTGGCATTATACAACTGAGGTTTCTGTTTCCTTGTTAGTTGTTGGCCAAGGACCACTGTCAGCTCTTAGACACCACCCTCAGGTCCCTGCCTCACAACCCCTGCACCTTCCCACAACAGGGAAGTTTATGTCTTCAAGCCAGCAGAAGAAGCTCTCTGACTTCAGGAAGAATCCAATCCCTCTTTTCAAAGACTCATATAATTAGGACAGACCCCCCAGAATAACTCTCTTTTGATTAATTCCAAGCCAACTGAGGAGTAACCTAATCACACTCCTAGGTTTCTCCTATACTCAGGCAGAGGGACTACCCGGGGAGAATATACCAGGGGCAGGAATCTTGGGCCAAATTAGAGTTTTGCCTGTCACAAGGGGTCCTAAAGGGACTAGAAGGACGTCAGCTTGGGGTGCGAAAGTGTCAGATGATTGTGATTCATGATTCCTCCACCGAGGAGCTAAGGAGTTTGGAGACTGACGATGTTTGAATTGAGTAGCAGCATCATGAGAACGAAAGAAAATGGCACTGTGTTTATCGGAATTCTATAAAGATCTGGATAAAGTTATTTCCCTGAAAAGTTATAGAACAAGGGTGGCGACTAGGTTGCATTAACTCTGATCAAGCAGTAGTGGCATCCTGAGGGCTCTGTCGAGAGAGCTTGTGGCCATTTCCAGGCTGGGAGGGCAGCAGTGCTGGACTCTATTTGCAAAGTCTGTTAGGGTGAGGGTGGGGACGGTGGCAGCACCGGAGCCGAGGAATGGCCACACCGGTGCAGGAGAGAATTCATCCAGACTCTGTGCCTCTGAAAAGGAAAATAACAAGTCTATTTCCTAGGACTCTGTGGTTTAATCTGTCATCTTCGAAAGCAGATCAAAATAGCAAACATTAATAAGATCTTCAAGCCTTTTCCAAATGTCAAGAGCTAGAACAAAATACAAATAAATTAATCCACTGGGAGCTTTTTCTATTCATTTCTCTCTCCCAGTAAAAGCACAGCTCCAAAATTTAGGAATTTCTAGCAATCTCTTGTAGACACAAGCAAGCAGGTCTGCCCAGCAAAGAGTTCAAATACACTTGCTTTGGCCTTGAATGATGCATTCCAAGGCTGCGTGGCAACACATGTAAAGAGGTGAGAGGAAAGTTAATCCTCTAATGATAGGTCTGAGTCTCAGGAGAAGCACAAAAGCAGGGCCACGTGTGTGTGTGGAGGGGGAATGTCAGCATGGCGGAGCACACGCTCACCTGTGCTGTACCGCACTGCCTGGGCTGTCCTGCCAGCTCCTGTGTGTAGTAGGAGCAACTTCAAGTCTTTCAACTCAAGGTCAAGGGCAAACACTCAACCAAGTGCACAGGCATTTGCTCTTCTTTGACCAAAAGTTCAGCTCTGAGTATTTGTTACTACTCAAAGAGAGTATTTGAGACAACATGCTTGGAAGTATTTGAGGCAAAGGGATTGGGAGCCCTGGGTGATTGATTTCTGGTTCTATCGTTCATTGAGGTGGTAGAGTGTACTACCATTTGGCAGATATTCTTTCTGTCTCTCATTTCTTTTACATCTCAGGGAGGAGTACACTTCCTCCCTCCCCCACCGATGTCAGGCTTGGCCGTGCACACGGCCTCGTGCTGGGTCAGGGGCACTTCCTGTGCCATTGGCATTGGGCTTGGCCATGTGACTTCCACTGGCCAACAGATATCCGTGTGTATGATGTGATCAGAGGTATAAACTGTGTTTGGGTGATCGGGTCTTCCCTCTTGCACTTCTGCTGTAACTGTGACTCAAACACGTGCAGACCAGCCAGTGGTCCAAACAGGGCGAGGGGCGAGCAGAACAGACCTGACACCCCTTGTGGTCCAGCCCTCTGGAGCCCAGATGAGATTAGGAAAGCTGCCTGAGATGTGTAAGCAAGAATAAATGACCGTCCCTTTAAGCTGCTCGGCTCGGGAATTGCTCCCCAGTTATTGAGGCAACGGGGGACTGGCGGAGTAGGAGGGAGGCCCCGGGCAAGGCAGTTTCTCAGTCCGTTGGTTTCTTCTTATAGTGAAAGGATGAGTCGCCGGTACTTTCCTCATCAGGCTACTGTGAGGATGAACAGAGACAAGGCATGCAAAGGGCTCACCATTAGCAACTGACGCAGAATAAGCAGTTCACAGGCAGTTGTCATCCTAGTTAAGAGCATGATCTGGATCCAATTTTTTTTTAATTCAAACCCTGGCTCCGGCACTATGTAAGTTTCACAACCAAGGCCATGGATGTTGTAGCCAAGGAGTCTAGACTTGGAGCTGCTCCTTGAGATCGTTATTACTGCCACCACGTGTCCCTAAGGCCCCACTATGAGGAAGGTTCTGGAACAGTGCTAGGAACACAGACCTACATGATCTCTGATCTTTGAGGGGCAGGCAGGGCAGGAGGCTGCGAGACATGAAGAGGCAGGGGTGAGGCTTTCTGGGTGCTGAGAGGAGATACCCAAGGAGGGGCTGCAGATCTGGGGCTCACTCTGCAGCCAGTTTTGGGGCTGGGCTGCAAGAGGCACACTGCTTTCTCTCTGAGGCTGTGCAGTTAGAAGGGTTAAAAGTCACTAAAGTTGGTAAAAAGTTGCTGAAAGTGTATCCCAGAGAGATCGAATCCTGGCATTGACTCAGTGGGCCAGAATGGGCTTGGAGCTTGGAGCTCAGAGCTGAGACTTCAGAGGCAGAAGGAGAGAGGGGTCTCCAAGAGAGCACCTAGGGACAAGCCAGATGACAAGCCTGGGCCGAATGCTATGAACAACCTCAAGGCTGGGCTACACTTAGAAGAAGCACCGAGTAGAAACTCCACCAGACTGCCTGGGGTTCAAACCCTGGCACCAGCACCTACTGGCTATGTGATCTTGGGCAAGTTACAGCACATCTCCGAACCTTCCTTTCCTAAAGGATATTAGGAAAATACAGATATTAATAGAGTTTACCTGATCAGGCCAGTGTGAGGATTAAAAGTGTAAAATATGTAAAGCACTTAGAATAGTATGGACTATTGTAGGATCAATTATTATTTATTATTATTATTTAATATTACAGGCCTACAACCCCAGAATCGAATCCCCTGGGCCAGGTATGTGTTTTACAATTCAGAATGATTCATCCTGTAAAAAGGAAATATGGTACACACATATCAGGCATTACATAAAATATCAGCAAGGTCTGGGGCTGCATTTTGTCACTAAATCTATGAATATTTATCAGTGAAATGCGTGAATATTTAAATCAAATAAAAACTAGAAATAGCTTCGTGTTAGTTTAGGGCAGTTTTTGTTACCCTGTAAGATCCAAAATAAAAGTGGAAAATAAACCCATGAAAACAAAAACAAAACTCTTAAGAGTTTGTGAAGCTTTGGGGATTTTGGAAATGTGTATAAGGATGTGGCTTTCATTGCTGAACGTGGCTGGAAGCTGCAGAAGTGTGTCTGGCCAGGGCACAGGAGGAAGGGGCAAAGGTCTCCTCCAGCCAAACTGGTCAGGAGAGGTGGATTGCAGGGGGTGGGCTTGGAGCTGAGACCCTCAAGGACACACATGACCTCAAAGGCAGGTGACAATGGACAGACACAGAGCCCAAGATGGGCTAATAAGAATGTGTCAAGACGTAATCTAGGGCTAGATTGTAAAGAGCCTTGGATGTCAGGACAAGAATATTGGCTTTATTGTAGTGTACAAGACACTGATTTCCTTAGGATTGAATTTAGCATCTCAGGCTATTTCTGCAGACTGGCTGTCTGTCCCTCTAGAAACGGATGGTCTGGCGCTACGCCCCTGCGTGGAGGTGGCACCTTGCTCTAATGCCCCTTCCTTCACCTTTGAAGCCTTGCTCAGCACGGCTGCCTCTGGTGACACGCTTTGCCCGTTGTTACTAAAGCCAAAAAAGGGCCCAGCCTGGGTCACGTGACTCGCTGCACAAAGAGCCAGTGGAGGCAATGAGGACTGCTAGAAGAAGAAAGGGATTTTCATGCCAAAGATGTCTGTCGGGAGAATGGCAGGAAGGAACAGGCTCAAATGCACCTCGCTGACGGATTAAGGGCAAGGGCTGTCGCAGTGGGCCGTGGAAGGCAGGTCGGGGGGTTGGGGTCTGAAGCCACAGGGTGGTCTGATTCAAGAATCAGCTGTTGGTGATGGAGGGGGAGGCCCGTGGAGAGGCTGGTTAAGTCTGGTTATTAGGCTGGACTGGTTAAAGTCTGAGGGTACAAAAAATAATTTAGGGAAGGGGTCATTTTGCAAGGCGGATTACACTGTCACCGCTGGGGCAGATGCTGTGCGTACCCCGCCCACATGTCTTTGGCACTCACCTGCAGGCGTGGAAGGATGGTCACTGGACACACCTGCAGGTCTCTGCCCTGGCCACCGGGGACGCTGGGGGAAATGCAAAGAGTGGATGCCTCAGTGGCAGCTCTGGACCCATGGCTCCCTGCTCTGGTTTTGTCTCGCTCCTCACCCTGTACCCACGTTTCCTGGGACACCTCCCAAATAATAGTTACACTTGAAGTCTTTGATCAGTTCCTGCTTCTGGAGGAACCCACACCGAGTCACCTTGATGATGAACCCACACCGAGTCACCTCGATGATCAATTCGTGCTTTGTTTCATGGTTGCCACCAACAGAAGCTAAACTCCTTGAGGGCAGGAATTTTTCATTCATCTTTGAATCTCCTGGTGCACTGCAGAGAGGAGGCATCAAATAAATGTTCTCTGACTTGAGAAATCGGGTCAGTCCCAATAATTTGCAAGAGCTAAAGATCCCCAATGACCTCAGGGTCAAAGCTTAGCTCCTGGATTTAATCAATGGCTCTGCCACTTCTAAGCCTGGTGATGTTCAGCAAGCAATTTCATCTGTCTAAGACCTAGTCTCTGTGTCTACGAAATGGGGAATAATAAAATGTGTCCCGGTGAAAAATCAAACGGTATCATTTGTGTGAAACACTGATCTTATTTCCCAGGTCTGGGTGTGAGTCGCATATATCTATTCTTTTCCCAATTGTCCCCCTTCCTTGTCCCCTAACCATCCATAACCAGTTCCTCCAAAGTGTGGGCTCAAGCATCTTCTACCTACTTATTGAAATGGGCTCAAGGCCATGTGCATGTGATTTGCAGATTTCTACCTCCTAAACAGAGCATCTCCAGGTTTAATGAAGACCTTGCGACAATTTGTGCATCTTCTGTTATGAGTGTCCGACACAAACACACACACACAAGCAGATTTATCCTGTGCAGCGCACTGTCTCAGCTACATTTCCTGCTCCATATGGACATCAACTATTAATAAACGCTCTGCTGGTTCAATCAGAGTGACATGTACGTCATCTAACTAAAAAGGTCCCTAAGCTTTGGCCATAAGAATGAGATCTCCCTCTTCATCAGCATCAAACATTTCCCAGGCTTCACATCTGGCCTCAGGCTAGGCCCTTGGATACCTGGAATAATCCAAGGAAATGTCGCACTCATGAGCTTCTTACTTTTCTTGTTCCCCTCTTGCAGGGGAACGTGGAGGCAGAAGACAGTTTTGATCAAATGGAAAGAGTATGGAAAGATAACCAGATCAACTGGTTATCTAGTCAGAAAGGAGAGAGCTGATGACTTTCGTTGTGCCTCAGTTTCCCTACCTGTAGGAGGAAGTATGAGTAGATGTTTTCTATGGGTCCATTTATAAAGGTTTTATGTTGAGAAATGGAGGAAATCTTTTTTTTTTTTTTGAGACAGCGTCTCACTCTGTTGCCCTGGCTAGAGTGCCGTGGCGTCAGCCTAGCTCACAGCAACCTCAAACTTCTGGGCTCAGGTGATCCTCCTGCCTCAGCCTCTCAAGTAGCTGGGACTACAGGCATGTGGTACCATGACCAGCTAATTTTTTTTTTTTTTTAGATATATGCTTTTAGTTGTCCAGCTAATTTCTTTCTGGGTTTTTTTTTTTTTTTTAATAGAGACAGGGTCTTGCTCTTGCTCAGGCCAGTCTCGAACTCCTGAGCTCAAGCAATCCTCCCACCTCAACCTCCCAGAATGCTAGGATTACGGGCATGAGCCACTGTGCCTGGCCTGGAGGAAAATTTGATTGCAGAAAACATGCACCCTGTGATTTCCCTTTTTTTCTTTTCCAAATATCCAACTAAAAACGGATGTCTTGAAAGATGTGTGTGCTATTGCCCCCGCTGTGCTTTCTTCATGAACTGGGGTAAAGAGGAGGCATTTATTTGAAAGTAAATAGACGACAATATAGACAGGTCTACTGTATGCGATAGTTTAAATTCAACATTTTGAGCGCGGTAGAAACAAAACGCATCAGCATTTGACCAAGGATACATTCATATGTCAGTTTAATGCTCCAGCTGTTTAATCAAAATCTGAATAAAAGGTCTAAAGCCCAACAAGCAAAAATATCATAGTTGTGGGATTCGGCATTTGTTCCCCCATTGTCAGTCAATTACTGTGCAATTTCTCCCTGTGACTGAATAACTAACTGTTAGCAAATAATGAAAAGGCAATTACGGAGACGCTTTGTTCCTGTTACTCCCTGCATTTTACCCTGGCTATAATTATTGTTGGGAGCTGGAGGTTTACTGTAGCATGGAGGCAGCACCAGGCAAGAAAATGGAATGGGCTGGTGCATGGAAAATTGCAAATGTCACAGCCACCTTCATTGGCACTGTTGGACTTCGGAGAATAAAAAAATCAGAGGAAAAAGCTCTCCATGTGGGTTTTACAAATTCTCTACCCCAAGCTGTCGTGGCGACTGGGGGCGCGGCTGGGGGACGCACGGGAACCAGGCATGACGTCTGTTCTTTTTCCATGTGTGCGATTCCCAAAGGGCTGCGCATTTTCACCGCAGTTGGCCTGAAACCGACTCATGGAACTCTTCTTTTTAGCCTTTGCCTCTCATTAGTGGTCTCCATGCTGTTTCATAATGGGGAGTGGCATATAAATGATGCATTTTATGGGGTTTGATCTTTCTTCAGAGAAGGAAATGTGCCACATATGGACAGATGTCTGGAAAAGAAAATGACGATTGTGCCCTCTTTGTGTAGTTGCCGGGGCCTATTTTTGGAAGCTGACTTTCACCGACCATATGCAATGTATCTTCCTTTTTGATTTTATCTTTATTAACCAGAAATTGTAAGATAAGACCAAAGGGACAGAGGTGTATTTCTAATATTTTTGTCTCTTATTTATTTAATAAACATTTCCTGAATATGTACCATGAGGAAGGTTCTAGAAGGCAGGTTCTGGGGAAATCAAAGATGAGTGGGACATGTTTCCTGTGCATAAAAGACTCTGTGTTGAGGTATTTACACACCCAAATAAATGTCTCTCTGTATAAAAAGCAACTTAGCATAGCCAAAAGTGTGTAAAACTATATATTTAAAAATATGAATTCTAATTCCAGCTCTACCACTTACTAGCTGTTTTATCTTGATGTATCAGTTAGCTACTGCTGTGTAACAAACTATCTTCCGAACCCTGTGGCTTAAAGCAACAAGCACATATAATTGAAGTTCATGATTGTGCAGGTCAAGTGGGAGGCCCCACTCCAGGTTGTGCGTGGCTGGGGCATCTCAGCTGAGGCAGTTTTGGCAACGGGTCTCCCATCTTCCTCCCTGAAGCAGCTGGCTAGACTGGACTGTTCCTCTCGTGGCAACGCTCAAAGAGCAAGAGAACAAGCAGGGACATGTAGGCACGCACACCAAGCTGATTCCAAGCCTCAGTCTTAGTCATGTCTGCTAACACCCTATCTGGCCGAAGTAGATTACATGGTCAAACCCTGACTGAAGGGTCAGGGACATATACTCAACCTCTCAATGGGAGAGATGTCAGAGATAAGTAACAAAGGGGGTGAATGACGTTACAGGTGAAAAATTGGGGGAAATTAATGCAAACAGCCACACTTGGATAAAACTCTGTGCCTCGATTTCTTTGTAAAATGAAAGCTCACCTTACCTGCTTTAAGAGATTGTTGGGAGGATCAAAGGAAATAAAGAATATGACTTTGCTTTGACAACTACAAAGAACTATAGTTATGTAACCTGTTACTGCTCTCATTACTTGCTACTTATTTTGCTACCATAAATATTTTATAATTTTTTTTTCCAGACTCAAGTAGGGATTTTCTGTAAACTTCAAATTTCCATAAGTTTAGCTGTCAGATATTCTTCTATTCATTGGATAAATTAAAAAATAAAAAATGGAAATTACTTACTTATAGAGTCTATTTTTCCTTGTTTTATTTGTAAAATAGGTCACTTCTTCAAGACCCCAATATGATTTGAGGGCAGACAGAATCTCAAAGCTATTGTTCCTGGTTCCTGTGGCAGCCAGCCATGAGATTCCCCTGGGTTTAAGATAGAAGAAGAAAACATGTATAGGCTAACTCAGGCTGCTTTGGCAACTGCTACCCTTAGGTTATTTCCATAGCAAAAGGAAAGCAGTTCAGGAGGGGTGGTTGGTCATAAATAAACAGGCAAGGATATATATTCACAAGGACAGGAGAAAGACAGATTATTAATACCAGTCAAGGGAGTAATAAAAAACTCAGAGATAGACATATATAGGTTTGGATTCTTGCTCTACCACTTATTAACTGGTTTATTTAGCTTCTAGGAACTGTCTCCTTTTTTTGTAAATTAGGGATATAACATCTAACTGATTGTATTCTTATCAGGAATTATCTTACTTAATCAGTGAGATATAATATATAAAGCCCCTAGCATAGCACCTGGCACATAATAAATACACAATATATTAGTTCCCTTTTTCCCACCCTGATTTTTTAAAGGTTTATTTTCCCCCAAATATGTCAAGTCATAGTTATTTAATTTTAATGACTAAGAGCATGAAATACCTTATTTTCCCCATTTACGATATCTCAGGTTTGGAAAGATCACAATAACAGAGTCTCCAAGAATAAATTTGACAAAATAAGTAAACAAACTGCAATGTATTCTGCCTCAGAAAACTCAATCTCTGCAGATGTCGGATAACACAAAGAACTTGTCCTCCTTCTGTTCCTTGACCCTATGCCTAACATGATTTACATTTGGCAAACTCATATTGAATATAGATTATCCATATTCTTCCCCCAGACCAGGCCAGCCATTCTTTCTCTCTCTCTCTGTCTCTCTCTGTCTCTCTCTCTCTGTCTCTCTCTGTCTCTCTCTCTCTCTGTGTGTGTGTGTGTGTGCCTCTCACACACTCATGCACACACACAAAACTTGTTTTGGATTTGGCCAGAGTCTTTTGGAAGGCAGGATTATAGTGATTTAGAAAAAAAATTGAAAGAAAAATCTCTCTCCATAAGCAGAGAGGGAAACATATAAGAACAGTATAAAAAGAGAAAGAAGGAAAAAAGCCAAGTTTAAATGAGCATATAGATGTTACTATCATGACAAAAATAGCTTGTCAAATTTAACAGTACATTTTGAAAATAACATATATAAACAAAATAGGCTGCATCCCAGGAATATAAGAATATTGACTATTAGAAAAAATCCAATATAATTAATAACATTAAGAAATTGAAGGAGAACAATTACATGACTATCTCAATAGAAATAGAAAATTTTTATAACATGAATATTTAAAATTTCTTTTTAAATAGCTTTTAAAGGATAACAGGAAACTGCCAAGGCACAAGGCACACTCAATTGAGGAAACTTGAGTGTGTTTCTTTTTAAGACAGGTGTAAGTCAATAGGGCCTTTACATGAGCAATAACAAACTACAAAATGATAGTAAAAGATAAGATACTACTTATAATAGCAAGTAAAATTTTAAAGCAGCAATAATAACAAAAAAGAAAAACATTTTCAAAGGGTGTAAATGAAAATCTGATTTCAGGGAAAGACATACCATGTTCATGGATGGAATGACTTAGCAATATAAAGATGTCAAATCTCCTCAAATAAATTTATATATTCAATGCAGTTCCTGTCAACATCATAGCAAAATTTTACATTTCACTGATTGCTAACAGAGGTGGCATCACCAATGAATGAGGAAAGTACAGATTATTTGGTAAATAGAGAAATTGGCTTATACCATGGAGAAAAGTTAGATCACAACCTTGCACCATATACAAAACATAAATGCCAGATGAATTAGGAAAATCAAAGACAGAGATGTGAATGGTAAAACTTAAGAAATGTAGTAAATAATTATGATAGGTATATTTGTGACTTTAGAGTAGACAAGGATTACTTAGTCAAGACCCAAAAGAACAAATGATATGGTTTTCAAAAGAAAGGAGAAAGCGATGGGAAACTAAAAGGATAAAAGGCCATGAATAGTTGTATCTCAGTAGGGGAAACAAGAGTAGCTAACATATATAATGTTCACTAGTGAACACAGAAATGCAAATTAAGAAAAGATTGTGGTGGCACTTTATATTTATGAAATTAGGCATTCAGATAATATTAAATGATGATGAGAGTCACCGTTCTTGGAAATGGAAATCCTCTATGATACATTGCTGGTGGAAATTTAACTGCTGCAGCTACCCTGGAGAGGAATCTGGCAGTAGTTAGTGAAATTCAATATGCACAAATCCTAGGACCCTAGACCACCCCCACTTCTGGGTGTCTACCCCAGAGACATTCCCCCAAATGTTCACAGGGAGACATGAGGGAGGCCCTCTCTTGAAGCGTTGTTTGAACTGGCAGAGTTGGAATTGCAGAGGTGGCCACTAGAGGCAGAAGAGTAAAAGATGATTCAGGTCTACAATCCCTTACCTGAGATTCTGAGATACAGAAACCTGTGAAAATATAAAGTTTTTTCATAAATTTGGCACAAATTTCTTTGGAGGTAAGTTAGAGTCTCTTGATATCCCACTTGGTGTGACTAGTCATACATTTTGATGCGGAAATAGAAACATGTTTGATTATAGCGTGCTGTTCAGAGCTTGCAGAATGAGACTTGTAATCTAATGCCACCTAATTATAGCACACAAACCTACACAAAATGTGTACATGTTCAAGGACATGGCATATCAACCTTGTATGGAGGGGCAGATTAAAAAAGCCTCAGCTACACCAGCAGGTATGCATCTATGGGAAGCCAAGGATTTGGAGTAAGGGTGGGGTGTAGAGGGGGGAAAATAAAAAATAAAATAAAGTAAAGAATCACCTAGAATGAACTGGAGGAAGAAAATAAAACAAAGCCAACAGAGCATGATTAACTAGCACTTTGGCTGGGAAAGGGGATTTCTACAGCAGTTTTTACATGCATACTGTGTGCTTTTGTCTTTGCAAAAGTCTCATTCTCCAATACAGCACCATGCTCTTCTCATTACTCTAGCTTTGGAATACTTTTTGAAGTCAGGTAGTGAAATGCCTCCAGCTTTTGTTCTTTTGGCCTGGGATTGCTTTGGCTATTTGAGGTCTTTTGTGGTTCCATAAAAATTTTAGGATTTCCTTTTCTATTTCTGTGAAGAATGTCGTTGGTATTTTGATAGGGATTGCATTGAATCTGTAAATTGCTTTGGGTAGTATTGTCATTTTAACAATATTGGTTCTTCCAATCCATGAACATGGAATATCTTTCCATTTTTTCTGTGTCCTTTTCTATTTTTTTTTTACCAGAGTTCACTTGTTTGTTTAGATTGATAACTTATGAATTTTTTAAACCTCTGTGCTCCCCATGGGTTTGGCAGTCAATATTGGGGGCTTGAAAAATATGTATTAACTAGAAATCTGCTATGGACAATTCTGCTAGGGTACCTAGGGAAAGCCCTGGTGATAAGGTAGGTTCTGTAATTCTAGTCACTCCTGCTTTCATTATTACCCAGCCAAAATGGCACTGAATTGATGAGTAGACCTGGCTTCAACTCTCAGCTCTGTCTACTGTGCTACTTGGGCAAGTCATTTTGCTTTTCTGAGCTTAAATACTCTCTCCCTGCTCCTTGCCCTTTCTCTCTCCCAGTTGGCCCCTGCCATGGAACCATTCTGGATTTCTTGCAGGTGACCAAAAACGCACCTTCTGACACCTCCATATTTTTGCATATTTAATTTTCTCTGCTGACATGACCATCACCTCTTATCTGCCAGGAAAATCCCCAATTACCTTTCAAACCATTTCAAACCTCACTTCTCCTCTCTGTTCCTGTTGCATCAAGGATAGGCCTCACTTAGAACATTTTAAAAATATTATTTTGATTACTCTAATGCATGGCTGTTTTCCACATAAGAATATAAACGTTCAGAGGGCAGGCACTATAACTCATGCATCTTTATAATCCTAAGGTCTAAATCAGTGTCTGGTACATAGAAGGTGCTCAATAAATGCTGGCTGCCCTAAGTGGCTTTGCCATTTTCTAACTGGGCAGCTATACATGGCCAATGGACTACTGAGAACTTGCTTCCTCATGTGTACATGAGGCAAATAATATTTCACAGTGGGGTTATGAGAAGCAAATAAAAACATGAAAACACATCATCTCAGAGTGGGAGGAAAACTCAAGGGTCATTCGCCTAATCACGCAGTAGAACCAGACCACTTCACAATAGTACCTGATGTCTCCTGAAATAGCCTAGTTCCACCTGTGGGCAGCTCTGGCTTCTAGAAAGGAGTTAAAATGTGTCTCTGGTGCACAAGTGAAGGGCTGCAGGGGTACACCAGGAATGGGCTAACCAGCGTTCTCATCATCCATCACAGCTTATGCACAGGTTGCTGAAAAAGTAATTGATGTGCTAGAATTGTTGAAATTTGCCATTTAACATAGGAATACGTTCTTAAATGTGGCTATGTTGTACATCATTTTAATGTGCATTTCACGCTTTATGTTTATTTGCTGATGACTTATTACTTGCTGTTTATTGGGTACCTACTATGTGCCCAATACTGGTGACACAGTGGTGAGCAAGGTAGGTACGGGTCTTGCCTTTATGCAGCCTAGGTCTGGACCCTGAGCCAGTAGGTGTGAGGGTGATGGGCACTTTAGAGAGGGGGAGTGCAGGGAGTTTTGGGGGCTTACAACTGTGGGTAAGCAGTCCCCAGGTGGGAAAATACGGAACTGAAGTAAAGCCTCCCTTCCCCAGTTTTCTCTTGCCTTGGCTTCCCAAGACAACAGAGCTTCCATCTCCCAAGTCAAAAATCACCACAGCAAGATGATCACCCCATTTTCCTGAGTACAGCCATCTCGATCTCCAAAGTGGCACCATGTAGGCCTACAGGTGACAGCAAGTGAGGACAGCAGGCCACATGGGCCCTGAAGCCAACAGGGCAGCCCGAGATGAATTAAAACCAGCAACGTCCTGAACGTTCCCTACCCCAAATTCAATGTTATTAGGATCTTCCAAACACTTCCTCTAAATTTCTTCCCTGGTCCCAAGAGAACACT